GTGCGCGCATTTATATATACTCCACAATCAACACTCTTGGTATCAGCAGCCAGTAAATTAAAAGACAAATGGCATTCTGCTGTCAGAGACCTCTCTAAAGTACTAAAGAGCAATGATGTCAGTCTAAGACTAAGAGATTAAGGTGTACCTGATCCAGGCCATAAGTCTTTGCAATTACTTGTTATGCATCAGAAAGCTGGACAATGACTTGGGACGACAGAAGGTGAACTGATGTCTTTGAGCTATGGTGCTGGGGAAGAGTACTGAATATACCATGGACTGCTAGAACAAATAGGTTCATCCCAGAGAGGTTGAGATCAGGCTACTCCCTGGAGGCAAGGATTCTGAAGCTTTGTCTGACAAACTTGGGCATGTTGCAAAAATGGACCAATCCTTGAAGAGAGACATCATGCTTGGGAGGGTGGAGGGACAGTGCAGGAGAGGAAGACCCTCAATGAGATGGACTGATTCAGTAACAGGGGTTAACGGGGGTAGGTGTGTCAAAGACAGTAAGATTGGCACAGGATAGAGCAGGGTTTAGGGCTGTTGTACATAGGGTTGCTAAGAGTCCTAGGAGACTCTACAGCACATAACAACAACAAAGATATATATACACAACACAAAAAAAAGGTAAGCAATGAAAAAGACAAAATGCATGCACAACCCCAGACTGAACTTCAAGTTTTTAAATAAAATAAGTCTGAAAGAATCTAACTAGGTTACCTGAAAAATGGTGTGCATGATAACAGTCAAAGGCCGGTTACCAGACAACTCTGCTATTCTGAAAACATGGAGACCCCATTTGTTTACATCTTCCAGTTCCTGAGGTTAAAGCAAATGATAGGTTTTTTTAAAAAAAAAAATCAGTGAACAAAACCATTTAGAAATTACTACTGATTTAACATAATAATTTGCTAAAGCAATGATTCATTTTAAATGTAATGGATACATCATATACAAGCTAGCAAAATTCAGGCAGATGCACTAAATGTATGGAAAGTTTAACAGCATGGCTTAGTCTTATGACCTTACTTATAATATACATAGTCACATACTTCAAGCATCAATCTCCAAGTATTCTTGCAGTGGATAAAATTCACTCACTAAAATTTAGTTAATTCTTCTAAAAAAAAAAGCACACAGAGATGCTAAAGATAGGACAGATCCTTAACACCTTGAGTTCAAAGAAGAGATGCCAAAAAGTGAAGAACACATATATTAAACTATCTGCCTAAATCTACAGAACATTAAAACTTGATTAATCTCTTAAAACCTTTTATAGGACACATTCAAAATTACACACAGTTAAAAAAAATAAAACTATTCATGAAAGAAAGATTTCTAATTCCTTCAGAGGCACCAGCACATGTCGTTGCTCCAATCCCTGCACCCACCGTACCTTGGCAAGCACATCTTCTTGTTCAGTTTTAACTCCAAACCTCGGGATGCTTGAATTAGTCAAACTTGAGCTGTGCATCAGCTTCTTGACACCACTGATCTGGGACATTGGCCTTTTCTTTTTCTCCTTTTCTTTCTGAGTCGGAGAAGGAATTTCCACTTCATGTTGCTTATCTTAAGAAATTAGGAAATGCTTATTATTAGTTCCGTCATTACCGTAACATATATGACTGTTGTTGTTATGTGCCCTTGAGTCGCCTGTGACTCATAATGACACGATGTACAACAGCCCGGAACCCTGCTGATCCTGTGCCAATCTTACTCTCTCTGACACCCCCATTCCCATTACCACAGTCACTGAATCAATCCATCTCATTGAGGGTCTTCCTCTCTTGCGCTGTCCCTCCACCCTCCCAAGCATGACTAGAGAGGTTATATGACTATTACGGAATTCTAGAAAATACTTTTAGCTTAAATTCTTTGTAGAGTATTAGATATTCACAATTTGATAAGAATTTAATTTCACAGCTTTGAAAAGAGCTTAAACAGGTAAATATCCCTACAAAATAATCTCCAGTATATTCAATAGTTTTTGCATATTGTATACAATATCCTAATACTGGTTTTGTAATAAGATTTATGATAGTTTATGAAAGGGCAAAATACACTGTTTCACTAATCATCAACTTTATTCTTATTGAAATTAATTTCCTGGCCTGAAGATTATCCTGCCAACTAAGGACTCCAGTTACAACATGACTCTAAAAATATCATAGTATATGTAGACACAACATATACAAGTGTCAATAAACAAGAGTAAGCCTATCAGCTTTGCCAAAGGAGTGTTACTGTGGAACTGAAGCAGCATTTTTAATAACTTCTATCATTTCTGCTAGTCTGTATTTCCTACAAAGGTGGGTGACTTTTAGTTCGCGGCCCTCAGGCCAGTCTTTCATTGTTTTTGTTCAGACATTCGTCTAGGTCGTATAGCCCTGGTGTACAAGTTGCCATCCTGCGGTCACTTGTGGTTGCTGTGAGGCTGAACACTGTGACACGGATGTGTCAAATGCGTTAATGGTTGGCTACCCAGTGCGGACTGAGAGTGGGGTGAGCTCCCTGATTAAACAAGCGTGGAAGGAAGAGTGGCATCCACTTCCATAATAGCTTGCCTCTGGAAACCCTATGAACTTGGAGAGAGGATGAAAGGCACCCAAGCGTCAAGGTCTCTCCTTCATAGGGTCGCTATGAGTCGCCTGCGACTCGACCGCACTTAACAACAACAACAACACACTGAGTTACAAGTTTTGTGGGTGTACAGAGATTTTGTAGCAGTCTCTGATAAGTGAACTTCATTTAAAATGAGTATTGTTGTCTAAGAAGAGACATAAGATGTCTCAGTATACTAATTCACTGTTGTTGTTGTTATTATGTGCCGTCGAGTCGTTTCCGACTCATAGCGACCCTATGCACAACAGCCCTAAATCCTGCTCTATCCTGTGCCAACCACACTGCCTCTGACACACCCATCCCGATTACCCCAGTCACC